GATGAGAAATAGAATAGACAAATAAAATGGAAGCATTTTTGATAAGAAAAATTCCAGAATAAATACTCAGCGTAGCGAGTGCAGTATAATTTAGCATGAGGCCAATTTGCATAAGCAACAATCAGTTTGCCTCCTACGCGCAATTTAAAAAATAGACTTGGATTGCCCTCATTAATTCCAATTTTGTTGGTCCTATTTAGCCCCCCTAATCTGATAGGTTTATGTGCTCCAAGGTCGCCATTGTTGTCTTGAAATATAATACCTCGTTAAACTATAGTTGTGAACCAAAAGCTCCAATAATAGTTACTTATTTGCCTTAGCAAAGCTAAATCAAATTGCTCGCATTTGTGAGGATAAGATCCAGACTTATTTGATAGTGCGTAAACCATCATGTAATATCCAAATACATAGTTGTACAGCCCATATTAATAAATTATAATAACTGATTAAATAATTTAGATCAAAATAAAGTAATCATGCACATATATAGCGATTATACGCACGCGTAAGCATGACCCGGGTTATCCAAGGCAGAAATAAGTACCAAATGTTCCTCGTCGGGTCCAAATATTTTCTCAATCAATCTCAGGCCCAATTGTAAGATAGCAAATTCTTTGACACCATCAGAATTAACAAGTAGATTTTGTTGGACCGGATTGCATCTCCACCCAGACAGGGGTGAAAATTCTTGGCTCTTATAGCGCTCTTGAACTATAAGCTTATCAGAGTTGGCTTCAGGAAGAATACTTAGCGATGTTTGCAGTCGAAGTGGATAGATTACTGCGTCCTTTAGAGGAAGGCACATTTGGGTTATGCGAGTCTGTCAAATAAAATCATAAAGAGCGTTATATTAATCGTGTGAAACCAAGTAAATGGAAGTTAAAAGCGCAAAAGATCCTATACAAAAGCATAAGTGATCCATTATCGGAATACACCTCTAGCCAATTTTCTTTCCCTTTAAAAGTAAAGTTTTACAGGTACATACACTGCATAATTTCTTAATTGTTCTTAATCATAATTGTACATTCTAGGCTAGTGACTTGTCCTGCTATCAGCCTAAGCAAATATTTTGAATTCTCAAAATCCCCAAAACGATGATCTGCTTAGCTTATCAGCAGTCGCTTTTTATCCACTAGGAGGAAAGAGAGCATTGGCGCCAAATGTCCGCACATTTTACTTGCATTTAGACCAGAATCTACAATATGAAGTAGCTCAAATGAAGCTCGCCACAAGAAAGACGCATGACGAAGTAAAATAATAGTCTAACAAATAAATTCCAAACGTTATCTGTAGTTACAAAGAGAGTGGATATGAGAAAGCTTGGACTAAGATTTTAAAGTAAATAAGCCATTATCATCAATATAAGCTCATTAATGGAGGCAATTGGGGCATTTTGCATTTAGAATGATGAAGATAAACGACAGTTTGAACAAACTTTCAGATAAATTCTGAAGTGAAATCCATAACTGGAAGCCAATAGCTTAAAAAGAAATAATATAATTCAAAATAAGCTATCAAGTATTACGTGAAGCTCTTGTTCCGTTGCTGGCGTAAGAAACCACATTTCATCAGTAGGGCTGTACAAGTGACAAGAGATGTTGTTCTCGGGCAGAAGCATGATGGGATTGCTATTAAATCCTATAAAATTCGAATTAGCAGGTGTAGCCAAGGTAATTAAATTTGATCCTAAATGGTTCTAAAAAGTAACAGGACAGCAAAGAGGATGAAGGATAAGGATACATTTGAACAAGTAAAATATAAAAAATGACAGTAAGAGACAATTAATTACAAGCCTGAGATGAAACGCTAGTCAAAGTAAAAGGGTAATCATCACGTATCTCATTGAGACTTTGATAGGTCAATACCAACTGAGATAATTACAAGAATTTTGCTTGAGAAGTTTTAGCCGAAATCACTAAGTAGGGGAGAGCTCTGTCAACTCGCATATCTGATATATATATATATATATATATATATATGATTTCCGCTAAAACCTACATTCCTAGTTTAGATCTTACTTGTGAGGCCTTAACTTCGATGTGCTAAATTTAGACCATTACTCCCTGGAGAAGCAAGCAACCAATTTTTGCCTTCATTTTACTAGGGACTCGATCTTCATAGTTTCCTTAAGCAAAACTTTTGTAATTAGCTAAGCTGGTAGATATATATTTTTTTTCGAAATGAGTATTGTTTTCCTGACTACCAGTAAATCAGTAATATGAGATGTATTTACCCAATTTCGTTTAAGGTGATGAAGGACTGGAAGAAAAAGAATTTTCTTACAATTATATGGGTTGAGCTAAGGTCTCCATTGAATTGTGCGAAAGTTCTTCTTCTACCAGTCCTTCATCACCTTAAACGAAATTAGGTGAACACATCTCATATTACTGATTTACTGGTAGTCACGAAGACAATACTTAATTCGAAAAATAAAGAATAGTAGTCTATTGTTATAGCAGATATACATATCGACAATTCCACCAAAA